ACTTCTGCTGACCTATCCAAATTCCTTAAGAGCCTTTCTCTGTCATGGCTAATTTCACCCCACTGCTCTCTCCATTAGTGGGTATGGAAAGAAAAGCAGCAAAATTATTGCTGCAGAGAGAAGCTGAGATTTCCTCCAGAAAAATCTGTTATCCTGGAAAAAAATCTAAAGAAAATGTCATTGAGAAGGACTGCTTCCCACAGCCATGTGTGGTAAGACCTTCCAAAAGTGAGGTAGTGGAGTGACTTGCTTATGAGAGCCAAGCTGAGAGTGCATTTCCCTCATTTCTTGCAACTGGAGGGCAGACGCTGTTTTTGCCTGCTTATGTCATACAGAGACTATTCAAGGTTTCCTTTGTCTGCTAACTATCGTGTGACTTGCACCCAGTAAAAAAGACCTAACTGACTGAGCTTGGAAAGCTGATTTCTGTTTTATTACGTGGGTGCTGAAAGCAGTCTTCAGCCCTCAGATCCATACAGTTGCTATGTTACCCCTACGTGTTGCTGATCTTTTTTTCTGTTCCCTTGCTGGAGCTAAATGGTGAGGGCTCAATTGCCAAAGCAGCAATAAACAGAAGCTGCAGATAAAATGAAAATATGAAAATATGAAAGAAGATGATGACATAGCCAGCATTTTCTCTATGCATCCAGAGAAATCCCACACTAAGCATCTACGCATCAGCCTGGTGAACTACAAAGCACCATCAGTGAGAGAGAAGAAAATCCTATGTCACCCTTGGCATAATTGCAGAATTAGAAACCTCAGTGTAGGCACAAATAGGCTGCTCTTTGTTAGCTTAAGAGCAGCTGAAGGAGGCTGAGAGCAGAAGGACGACTACCCATGCTGTGTTCTGCATGGCAAAACGGCAGGAGGGAGGCTCTGCTGGAAAAGGGAAGTCTGTTGGTCAGGCGCTATCCCTGATGGGAAATGTGGTTGGTAAGGAAGCGGCAAGGAGCCAAGCATGTGCACAGCCCTGCCTTCCCCTGTGTGCCTTGTCTTGGCTGTGCTGCCCATGCTGCCACTCATACGAGCTAATCCAAGAGGGAGTATGAAAAGATGAGCAGAAACTTTTCAAAATTAAACAGCCAGGATGTGGAACTGACTAAATTTAGATTCATTCCTTTGAACTTACATCAACATCCATGACAAGCACCCTTACTCCCACACCTCTCCTGCAGGAGGCTGCCCCTCTCCCTGAACCCTCACAGTAGCTTACTTGCAGATGAACCCTGAGGGAGGAGGTAGGTCAAGAGAGGAGGAAAGGAGGGAAAATAAAATAAAGCTATAGTTTGTTGAGAGAGCTATTGTCAGAGATGTTTTCATTACTTAAGAGTGCAAGTGCTGGTGTGTCTGGGCTCCTGCTCCACCGCTGTTGTTTTTGGTACTTTTCGGTAACACAGAATGAACTGGCTGTACTCCTAGCAGATCCTGTCCTCCCCTCCCACCTTTACCTTAGTGTGACTAGATAATATTGGGTGGCATTTCAGTAAGAGAAGCCTTCCACTTGCACCAACTCTGGTACTGTTACTCAATATATACTATCTACCCAAATGTTAGAATGTCAAATGTACTAAACACAATTAGGTGTTTATTAAGCTGCTCATACCCTACTTTCCTGTGCAGTCTAAATACCTACCCAATTCTTGATGCAATGTACAACAATCCTAAATGCAAAATGTGTCAATAGACACATGCATCTGTTGTCAGTGCAGCCTGGGGAGACTGTTTAGGCTAGTGTTTTATCAGTGGAGTGATAGCTGAGGAAAAGTAGACCAACCTAAAAAGTGGTGTGTAAAAATAGGCATAGGACTTGACCACTCAATATGCAGCATGGGCTAAAAGTCTAGCTTGAAATGAGTCACTTGGTTCTTTTGTTTTAAACAGGAATTTTTTTACTATTATTATTATGGGTTGGGCAGGGATTAGACATCAGCGTTGTTTTGCGATAGCAAGGCAGTGACATGGGTATAAAAAATAGCATTTATAAATCTAAAAAGTCGATGCTGCTAGACTGCTGGTAAAGCACAAACATCTTTTGTTCTGACTTTGCAGAAGAAAACTGCTCTATTTTAGCATTTTGTTTGGGGTCCAATGTAATATCTAGTTCTGTGGGAGCTGAGTGCTTTCCACTAAATCCTGTGACAAGCCTCTGGCGTGTGCCATTCTTTGTCATCCCGCTTTTCTTCTCTGAGGAGAGCAAGCTATATGTAATGCATTTTTTCTGTTTGCATTTTTATTTTGGTCTGTGTTTAAGACTCTCATTAGCAAGTGCAAGATCGAAGGAATATGTTTGTTTTGTAAAGGAAAAGGCTAAATCTTCATGTGCTCAATATCTAATTGCACTTTGGACTGGGTCTGTAGAAAGTGTTCCCTGACTAAGTTTTGTCTTTTCAAAGCACGTATTCTTATGGTAGAGAAGTGACAGGGATGGTGACGAGCCTTCAGTGTTAGAGTAGGCTGCCCTTCACTACCATTTTCTTTCTCTCCTCCTTTCTCTTCCCTCACCTTCTGCCAGCTCTAGCTGACACAAATGTGTCTCTGCTGTACACCAAAGTGATAAGCAGAATTGACTCAGTATGAGCAGGGCCCAATATCAGGTGATTTTTGGTTGTCTTGGACAGCTTCAGGGGGAAACGGAGGGTAGAAAATGTAGTGCAGAGGGCAGTGACCTCACTTCTGCGCTATGAGCATTTTGCAGCTGGCAGTAAGCCATGGGCAGGAGGAGGCATGGCTGGAACAAACCCTGCTGCAGCTAACCTGGCAGGCCTTTGGCAGGAAGAAGCACAAACTGGGTGGGTAGGGTTCTCAGATAACATGAACCAAACATTACAGATATTCACTTAAGACCTTCCCACAAACTATTTTTTTTTTTTAGGTGGAGTAGAAGTGCAAGCAGATATGAAGGAAGGGAGCTAAATTAATGAGGAACAGTACATCCCCTTTATACATCCAGCTGCATGCCAGGTGACCTGAGCTGCTAAGAGAATCCTATAGCACCTTTCTTGCCTTTCTTGTTTGCCCACTCATTCCCCTCAGGCTTATCTTGCCAGTGCAGGAGGGACACCTTTCCAACAGCCACACATTGAAGCCAGGACTGCTAGCTGACACATGCCAAAAAAATAAAAAGGAAAACCAAACTGCCCTATGAACAGTAAAACAGGAAAACTGCAGACCTTCGATTTTTCACCCTGATTCTTGAGGTTGATCATAAAAATTAGGACAAATCATGACATCATCTATGGTCCAAGCTCCTGGCAGTACTGTGATAGAGGATATAAAATTTGCCTGCTTTGCCTCCTTGTATTAGTCCTAATCCCAGTATATGGAAGAGTCTGGCCCAAGTCAGACAGCCCACTCCAGAAAAGCTCAGCAGACGTCTGTCCTGGTGAGTCCTGGCAAGATGTCACATGAGGCCAGATTGTAGATAAGGAAGCACCCCTTCCCTGCTACTTTCAGTAGGAGGTAAGGGACTAAGCTCCTCTGAGAAACTGGTCTGTCATACCTGGTGTATGAAGTAACTTCTGTTTCTGGTACTTAACAATTAAAGGAAAGAGTTCGTCTAAATCCCTCTCCCTGTTGAAAACTAATTTCTTGCAGCTAAGATGGGAACCTGTCACCCTGAAAAACACTGTAAATAGCTGTCCACTGGATTACTATACCACAAATAGACTATTAAACATTATTAACATTATGAACCTTTCCCCTATATATGTATAAAGATCCCAACAAAAAGAACTAATTTCTGCTCTTTAGATATCAACCTTTACATAAGGTCTATGGGGTGAGAGGAGTCAGAGTGCTCTTAAGTCCTGTAGCTGTGAGTTTATGAATTCCCTGCCTTTCTTAACCATTTTCCCTTGGCAATGCCACACAACAGTTGTTCAGTGCTGAGTAGACTCCATGAAAGGACTACAAAATTCTGCCCAAATTTGCTGCTTCATTATTTTGATACAGTGATTGCCAAGCATTTTGACACAGTGAATACCATGCTGTAAAGTAGTTTTAGCCGAGTGTCGCAGGAGCTCATTACAGGGAGGTTAGGCATTAGTTACTTATACTGATGCCAACAACTGCTTTTACATGCTTTCCTTGGAAAGATCTCAAAAGACTCCACAAAGAAGGTCAGTAGTATACCCATACTTTTAAATTTGGAGCACTTTAATACACTGCAGTTGGATCAGCTGACATTGACGTGCAGATAACAGCCAACACGTTCAGCAGGCACAACATACAATGCCACAGAAACATGATCGGGAGAGCAGAGATCTTCACAGTTTGGCTTTGAAGTTTCTACAAGCTGCTTCCCTCTCCCATTTAAACCCAAATCTTGTGCCAATAAATGGCAGGAGGATTTTATGCTGAGTTTCACTCCTGCCAGCTCTTAGAAATTGTTATCACTCTCCTCTCAGGCTGTTTTCCTAGGAAGGGTTGGTGCAGCCTATTTTCACCTCTGGGACTTGCTAACTCCCACACCAGGTTTTCCATGGACAAACTCAGCCTGAAGCTGGCATGGCAGTTACTTACATTCTCTTTTTCTCTGCAACTACTCAGTCGAAGTAACGTGGGGAAGGGAAAGGGACCATATCCCAAGCCAAGGGGACCCTCTTCTCTGCTTTCAGCAAAAAGAGTTTTTCCCCAGCCTCCCTTTTACAACCTCTGACTTTCTGTGCAGGAAATGACTCTTTCTAGTCTTGATGTTATCTTTTAAATACACTAATGCTACTGCCTTGGGCTTTTGAGTGAATGAAGGCATTCAGCTTTCCTATCCAGAAAGCCTTTTAATAACTTCCCTTGGAGGCTGAAATTTGCCCAGGGCTTGCAGAACACAGCTGGGATTGGAGAGGGCAGGAGAAGGGGAATGGGGCAAGGAGAGCAAAAGAAGAAAACTCTTTTCAGGAAAGGAGATTGGCATTCAGGAGGCAGATTTGCAAGAGTTTTGTCTGTTTTCCTGCTGAGGTCAGACTGTTGAATGGGACCATGCAGAAAACAAGAGACAGGGACAAAGTAGAAGACGTTATTTAATAGTTCATCTTAAATAACATGACATTGTCAACATGTGAATGACTTACACCTGTCAAAGGTGGTGCAGAATATCCTGTTTTGTTTTGCCATTTATCCAGTGCATATATTTGAAGAATAGATACAAATATTGTCCCATTAGGATCTTCAGTAATTATATATTAAGGTTTAGACTTTCTTTTTTAAGAAACAGCTTGACATTGAAACAGAGGTGCAAAAGTAACATGATATATATGCAAAACAGGTTTTAAGTAAGTTTTTAAGCATGCTCTCTACTGAAGTTTATTTTTTAAAATTCAGTTTGACACTATAAATACATAGTACAAAAAATACAAGTTTACAAGCAATTTTCCCAATAGTATGCCATTTGAAGTGTTAGGTAGCAACATTCCTCCAACATAGGTTGTATACATTTAAGAGCAATAATATTAAGTATTTACATACCGAGTTATGAAGAATGTTACGTATCATGTTTGAGAATATAAATTAGTAACAACACGTAGAGACAAAAATACATGTACTGTGAAATAAATACTTCAACATCTTTACATATGAGGATATCTATAATATTATAAGAACAAAATATACAAGATTGTAGAATTTGATCTTGCAGTTGCTCATATTTGTCACTTGAGCATCTAGGCAATCTCAGTGCAGTAAAAATGTTACTTTATGGCATTACTCATACATTGAAAATCAGGTGCACAGAACTACATTAGTGAAATGGCTCCTGACTGGAACACCTCCTGACTAGAACAGGCCCCCAGAAAACTTGGTTTTATTCTTGTGAGTTGAGATACTGTTGGCATTCTGGGTCTCCTTTAATTTCTGGAGATTCAGGAATTCTTCTGCCACTTTTTGGATAGACACACCAGCATTCAGCAGACTCTCCATCCAGTAAAGTTTCGCACTAGAATATTATTAGCAAAACAAAAATCACAGTAAATAACTGTAACCAGAAGATTATCTGTGAGACACTGCAAGTAGAGGTGTTGGACAGAACTAGGATCAGAAGGTGGGGACCTGCCATGCACAGACTTGTTTTGAATGCAGTGGTCCGCAGAGCCTCTTGAACAACACGCTTGGCTAGGGAGCCAAGACTCGAGCTCAGCTACCACAAGAGCAACTTCAGATTTAAAACTGCCCATTTCTTAGCAAACAGTAGTAGAAAACAGCAGTATCTTCCAGCATGAGAAATGGAATGATGGCAGAATTTACAAGCTGGTAGGGTGAGAGCAGTGGCTGAATGGTCTGGCTCTTAATGCAAGGAGGCAAATAAGGTGGTGTGGGTTTTTTTGTTTCTTAGGGAGGGCATTAAACAGATTTCTGTTTGTGCTTGATTAGATCCCAAGGTCACAGTGTTTGTGAGTCACATCATGATGCCATACACCAAAACAAGGAGTCTCGGCAACACAGATTTATGCGGACCTACTAAATTTGTGTGCATGAACTGTGGTTACAAAGTGTGGCTTGAAGTTTGGAGCTTTAGTTGGGTTTGCAGATTAACTTGCAATGGCTTTTTTTGAGGATATAATGGAAATGAGCAAATAAGCTAGTCCACAGGCAGCACAAATTGATATTTTTTTTCTGCTTTACCAGGGTAATTTTGCTCCGAAGAGTTTTTTCACTGCCTATGTGAGTTTCCATTGCCTGGGAGCTGAGACTCCCCTTTACATAGTGATTATTATATATTCAACAGGCTTTGGCAGGTAATATGGTGAATATAATGAATTAATATCAACTGGAACTATGCTAACAAATCAAGCACATGGAGCTTGATTTGGCCTGGGAGCAGGTAGGGTTAAAATATTTTAGAAAAGGTTTTGAGTGCACCTGTTCTGTGAATGGAAAAGACTCCTACCTCCATTGCTGTCAGCTTCCAGCATGTGGCTCACTTTAAAGAGAAGGACAAGCCATCTGCTCCCACAACAAAATATTCCTGTTTTCACAACCTGCTTGTCCAGCAGCTGCAAACGTGGGAGTTTGGGAGCAGAGGGCTGTGAAAGGGTTGGCTGTATCAGGCTAGTCTCAGCGTTGCTGTGAGCAGATAGGGGAAAAAAGGCACGCACCTGTTTGCTGTGGTAAAATCCATTCTTGTTGCAGTTGGGCAAATAGAATTTGTAAATCTCCCCTCCACTTCCCTGCTGAGCCTTCGCCAATCTGTACAGGGCTCTGTAGAGCTCCTTCTGGCAAGGACCCTGCAAGAATACCAGGCACAGGTTGTAAATACCAAAATCACAAAGAAACCAGCTAAACAAAAAGTGATCAAAATAAAGCTAGCAAAAAGCTGGAAAAAAGGCATATAATCTGGTGCCAGACTGTTTTGCATATAATTTTCCTTGTTTCAAGAGGAGCACAGCCAGAAAACTCTGGTCTTGCATTTAGACCTTTGTTTTTATTCTTTGAGGTATTTTCTTTAAGGATTTTAATCCTTAAATTGCCACACAAGGAAATTTAACCTGTACTAAGTAAACACATTACTGCTCAGAGGGTACAATCTCTGCTATTATGGGGACGTGCATGTTAAGAAACTGGTACGTGAGACTTGCCACGTTTTTGGGGTTGCCATGGCCCTGTGCTCTGTTGATATATGGAGAATAGGTACAAGACATATAGAGAGGGTGCAAGAACAAACATTTGAATGTTTGTTATCTTTTGTACAGGACAGAACTGTTGCCAAAGCAACATGGAGCCATCCTGTAGCTCTGGGACCAAAACCCAAAGTGCCTGGAACTGAGGATGAAGAACTGTTTGCAATATTAATTATTTTCACATTTTGCTGGCTCTCTTTTTTGAAGTCACTATTGCTGTGCATCAACAGTACCTAATATGTTTAAATCACTGCAAGGAGAGGAGAAGTGGCTGAACAAATATTTGTACTTTAGAGTAAAAATAAACATAGCCTCTGCTTTTACAAAACCTCCCCGTGTCAGCCCCTCATACAAGCTGTCCTATTCCAGTCAACTGGTTTATCTGTGACTCTGGGTGAGAAAAGCAGAAGCCCCTAAGTTCAGAACTGGAGCTAACAGCATGCGTACATAACAGTTCAAATTACATCAGTGATTAAGTCCTGTTCTGGATATGGAAATGAGGCTTCCTACGGTAGGGTGATGATTAGTAGGTTTTTGCTTTTTCTTTTCCACTTTGTCAGTGACCATTACGAACCTGGGCTTCTGTGGTGTCCGACCAACTCCCCTCCGTAAGGCAGGGTTGCTGCTGCTGGGGACGGGTCTAGCCATGGTTCTCTGCTGCCCTCAAGTGGAACACAAACATGCTTGCAAAGGTGTCCCCCCCACTACCTACTGAGATTTTGCAGTGTCTAAGCATACTTTAATTGTTGAGCTTTTTGTCTTTCTACGTTCATGTAATTGACATAGAAAAACACATTTTGGTTTGCATTGGTATTTTGTCAATAACTATGTGGAAGAACTCCTTTTTACTTCACTGTGTGTTGGACCAGTGAAAAATGCCTTTTTTAAAAAATTAAAGCACAAAAGGAATCCCAGATTTTAATATGGGTTCATGTAAATTAAGGGGCCATCTGATAGTAAATGCAGTGAAAAGTTCAGCCTCTGCACAGTCTGTGTAGGACATATTTGATGCATGCCTGTTATTATCACTCTATTTTGCCATTTTGCCTGTTCCTCAAGCATCTGATGAAGATATTCCAAAAGTCTGTTTGCCAGCTTCCCAAAATACTGACATCTCAGAGTTGCTGCTGGAATTTCATACACATTTTCATTTCGTATTCTGAATAAACAGCATCTACTGAAATGGTCTCTGAAAGGTTTCAAAGAAAACCCACCTGCTCTTTCCATGTCTTGAGTTCAGATGTTCTCTTTGCTTTCATGTTTTCATATGCAGTGATGGCATTCCAGGGAATGGACTTATCCTGGCCCATGGGAAACATTAACTGATAGTTCAGTAGCTGATCCTGTGTTATTTCAGTGCTTTCCAAAGGCATATCATCAGGTTTGACAGGGTCTGGAAATGAAGGATATTAAGGTAAACATCTTCAGTGAACTTTCGCATTTATTTCTCACAGTGAAAAAGGTGAAGAACAAGAAGAAGAATCAACCAAAAAAAAAAAAAAAGTAATATCTAAGACAGATCTTGTAGGAATAATAAATGGCAAATTAAACTTTGGTCGTAAGTTCATAGAAGGACTCATCAGCTATTCTCTAACAAGGCAGTTATTTTATGATCCTTTGAAATTATGTGAATCCCAAAGATGAGCCAGTCTGCTAGAAACAGAAAAATCTTCTTGACCACAGTGGGTTGTAGAGACTTGGCTAAATGAGGAAAGACTGAAGTTAAACTTCTTATGAATTTAGATGTTTGTCAGTGTGATGTGTTTGTTTTTATTCATGAGGGGAACTGGTCCAGACCTCATCCCATAGTAACCTGAACCTTGTTCCGTTTCTTGCCTCACATACAAGAAGGAGTAGCAATTCCCAGGAGCCAGCAGTAGCTGGGGATTGTCAGAAGCCTAATCGTACACTGTATGCTAGTACCTAAATCAGCATGTGTGAACTCTCCCACTTAAAGCAACAGAAGCTCTTTGCAGGGGACTCACCATAGGACAAAATTTTTATGTGTCTAAATAACTTGTTGGATCAAGGCTGTAAACAGACAATGGACTAAAAAATACCCTTTGACAATGTTTAAGAAAAGATGGAGGTGGGAAATTGAAGAGGGAGAAGGAGGAAGGGAGGAAGGGAGAGAGGGATGGAGGAAGGGAGGAAGGAAGGAAGAATAAAATTAAATTGAATGCATGTGGCTTAAACTAAAGTTTAGTTACTGTTTCCTGTCAAGTAAAAGAGAAGTTCCACTTACTTCCACTAATTTTTTTGAATCAATGACGATTATTTTTGTAATGCTACTGAGTTACCTTAATCACCACTTTGTGAACATAGGAGTAATGATGATGAAAATAATAATCATAATAAATTGAAAAATAATGACATAACGCTGGAGAAATTCCTGAGCATCATATTGTCTAAGATGCTTGAGATGCCTTTTTTCTTGAAGATAGTTTGGCTAGCACTACACTACTCCAGATACATTTTATTCATGAAATGAAGCCAGGCACCAAGCTTGTTTAGTCTTTTCGTTCTCTATCATGACTTTTGGAGATGGACATAAACAAAGCCTAGAAAACATTTGTCCTACTGTATTTACTGTTCATTACTAAAGAAAAACTGTCTACAGCTTCCCAGAAACCTGGGAGATCATTCTACATTGTGCCATCACTACACTTTAGGGTTTTCGTGCTCGCAGCCTGTAGCTAACAGCTTGTTGCGAACATCTCTTGGCTTCACATCAGGATGCGCCTCGCCTCGAACGGGTCAGAGCACGTTTCCCCGGAAGATGCACTCAAGCTTCCCTGTTTTTCAGATGCCTGCCTTACTTCGCTCATTGTTCCTGGCTCCCGGCGCCCGCAGCGCCGTCGCCGGCTCCGGGGCATCGCGCCCGCCGCGCCCCCCGGCTGCCCCCGGCGTGGCGCCGCAGCGACGGGCCCGGCGCGTTCCCTGGTGCGGAGCGGAGCGGAGCGGGGACGCGGGGACGCAGTACCTGCCGGCTCTGCCGTGCGCATCGCTCCGACCTCGCTGGCGGGCAGGCACGTCCCGTGCCCCTGGATGAGGGCGGAGAGGGGCCGGGGCTCCCCGGCGGGGACGTGGCAGCGGAGCCCCAGCCGGCAGCGGGCCGTGTAGACCCCGCAGGGCTGTCCCGGCCCGAGGGCGCAGGTCTGGCAGCAACCGCAGCCGGGTTGCCGGGCCGCCTCCGGGCAGTCGGACGCGACGGGCGGGCAGAGCGCGATCCTGTCCGGACTGCACGGGGCGCAGCGCACGGGCTGCCCGGGGGCCAGGCGGGGACCCAGCAGCGCCGGCAGCAGCAGGGCCGGCAGCCAGGAGCGGCGCAGCACGGACCGCGGGCGACCCATGCTGCTGAGGAGGGAGCGCGGGAGGGCAGCTCGGCGGCCTGGGGACCAGGAGACACTTTGCATATATTCGGCTCACCCGGGCCATTTATACAGCGCTTTGCCTGGCTATTAATCTTTAACCCCAGTTAACTGTTATCTGAACAGGAGGGCTGGAGAAGCATCATTTCACTGGCGGTTCAAGTCCCTGGCCACTCTTCCCCTCCCCTTTTACTTTCCCCCTTTATCTATTTTCTTTCCTCCAGACATGAAGGAATGCTTTTATTCCCTCCCCCCCCACCTCTCTGCACCAGCACAATTAACAAGGAAATATGTAGTGGGGGTTGGAGGTGAAATTGGCAGAGGGCAATGGAGGAATGGGGGGTACCCCCTACCCTTTTGCCTGTCACAAATATGTCCTGTTCTTGGCATTTCAAAAAAATGTAAATGTTAAAAAAAAAAAAAAAAAAAAGGGGTGGGGGGAAATGAAGGAGAGAAATCCCGTTGAAACTGAAGCAACTGACTTTGTATTTCCACAGCAACAAATGCAACAAACCCTTATTTAATTTTCATCATGTGGCTGCAGGTTAGTACACTGACATACCTAAGAGGAGGCCTCAAGGGTAATAAAGCCATGAGGATCCTGTAACCACTGCACACATGCATGTAGGAGTCTTTGCATTAACCTTCGGGAAGGGCTGCGCAGCTGAAGTTGGAGGGATCTCCTGTGCCTTGACTCAGTTTTGCCACTGCTGCTGGGATGAGAGGAGCTTCAGTCCTCAAAACATGCACTTGAGGGAAATCAGTGTTTGTCAAACAGACCAAAAATTAATTAGATATCTGCTTTTCTGTCTGTCCTGTTACTCTTTCCATCTCCTCATGTATCAACTGAGGGAGGTGTGGGTGGGAAATCTTTCCTTTTATCCTTTGCATGCAACGGTTGTCACTCCAGTGAAAGAAAAAGTACTCAAACTTCACTGTGCTGAACAGATTATTTTATCCTAGTATTCACAGTACGTACCAAGCTTGAAATAGCAAATTCTACTGTAAAGTCATGTAATGTAGCATGGTTTCTTTGTTTGGTCGGGGTTTTTTTTTAACATTTACTTGTCCTCTTTTGTAAATACATCATTTATGTGAAAGAAAGTGAAGAAGAATATTTAACATTCTGTTATTCACTCTTTGTTTTCTGATATTGATACCAAAGGTTTTATTTATCATGTAGTGATTTTTTTATCCATCTATATTCATAACTCATTTCTTAAAAGTATTCTCATGGATTACAAATTTTTACAACTTGACACATTTTCACTTAACTGCTTCATCTATTTTATTTAAATTCAAATAGTTTCAGGGATCTCTAGATACACAAACGTTGACAACCCTTAAAGCTCATTAGCATTTTTAAGCATTTTAAGGAAAACTAATTTTACATATTTTAAAAGAATTCTGTGGACTTAGGATGTCTAGGAGTAAATTTTAGCTGAAAACCCAGAGCACAACAGCTTCTTTAGAACACTGCAATTAAATTTTCAAGCTCCTTTCCCTCTTTAATTTCTATTTTTTTCTTGTATATCTGTCTTTGAAAATCAAAATTCTCTTACCATTCAATATGAAATGAAAAATATACAGAAATATGTCTTCTTTCCTCTCCCAAATAAGAAAAAGAAAACAATGCAAAATTAAGTATCTTTCATTAAGAAACATGAAAAAAACACAAATGGAAAGTAGACCCAGTTACAAAATGACAAAGACCCAGAGAACCCATATGTATTAGGATATGTGTACACAGGTATTCATTCACTTATCTATGTATCTCTCTCTGCTGTGTTAGATAGCTTTTTATGAACAGAATTGAGGATCATTGACTGACTGCTTAAGATAATCTACTTGCCTCTGAAATTACTATAAAAAGTGATTGTCACTGTCCTGCCTACAGTTCTTCTGTCTAAGAAACCCGAGGAGAACTGAAATTGGTTTTAATGATACACATGAAACATTTCTTAAAAAGGATTTTTTAACTCATCACCATCATTTTTAGGTAACCAAAGACACTTAATGCAAGAACAGAGTCCTTGTCTGACATGCACGCCTACATAACAAAACTGCCATTAGTTTCATTCTCATTCTTCCCAAGTACCATCATATTTTCAGGTCTTTGGCATATTTTTCCTTGTTGTCAGGCAGTTGGCAGTATCTGAACTGCCCAGGCAATTCCTAACAATTTGCTGCCTTTTAGAAGTCAGATTTTTGCAGTTTACCCAGTTAGACAAACAAAAGATAAACAACACCCCTCTCCACAGATTATAAAACATCTTGAGGATTTTTTTGTTTTGTTTCCTTTATGACTGCAGGTTAACTTGAAATGATGCCCCAGCCTTTTTTTCACTTGTTATCTTTTGTGCAATCAAACTAAGGAAACCTTCAAGTCTGCTAAAGCTTCCCTTGTGAGTAGATGTTCTTCTGTAAAAAAAGTAGACCCATAAAAATCAGTCCCTTCATATTTCATTTATATAAATGTAATGGACGTATGTTAGAGCAGATTATGTTAACTTAGGGCAGTATCAATCAACAAGGTAATGTTTTTGTATAGGTCTTGGGACATCAATGAAGTGAAGGCAGTGTATATATTTATGTAGGCTCTGTTTGATGTAATACTACAACTCATCTACCAATCTCCATCTCTGACCCTGACATTGCTTTAAAGAACACAAACAGATAAGAGTCAGGAGGTTAAAAACATCCATGATGTAAAGTTGTGTTTGCTGAGGACTTTTGATGGTAATTTTTAGGTGTTCCAACTGTTGACCCCTAGTTTGAACCACTTGTCAAAAGACACCACATGAATCCTAGGCAAGGATTGCTTTTCTGTGAGATCTTTACCATTGGTTTCTCAATAATTTTTAATCAATGACCTCACTTTGCATGTTATATAAAGTTAAGGATTTTTAATTTCTTTTTCTTTAAAGTCATGTGAAGGGACTCACAAAATGTAGAGTTTTGTATGCATTTGAGAATAAGTGATCTTTTTCTACTAATCACTAACAATTCAAGTAACTTGTCAAATAATTGCCTGCTGGAACTGCTTCTCTGGATATGTTTAAAAAACCAGCAAAACAAACAGTGGAATATCCTCATTATTTTTCTCTGCATTTATTCCATATAAAAAAAATGCTTTTTCTCTCTAGATTATTAGGAATTTTTTAGCCAACTAATTGACAGTGCTTATATTATTGATGAATAATTTGATGCACACATTTGTTGATTGTTGTCACTTTGTGGCAATGACATATAAGCCATTTGGTATTATTTTTCTATTCTAGTTGGGTAAAAATGACTTTTAGAATTAGATTCTGGATGCAAATAAGGAGTTGTTTCAAGTCTGGGTTGCACTAACCTTTGCAGACTGACTTTTGCTATTTTTCTCCAGCAATTAATTTTGCTAGAATGTGGAAAATAATTTATAAATGCCTAAAACTAAAACTGCAGAAACTCTAGTGAGAGGCTGTCTCATGGCAAGTCTAGCTAGGGAAGGCTGCTATGGACTTTTTGCATTAAATCATGGGTCATGAAAAAAAAAGAGAAGAAATGGTAATTTATCTCGGTGGTACCCAAAGTGTCTGGACACTGAATAAAACACCTTGTTTTCAATGTTGTGCATGCATGCACCAGCCAGATAACTATTTTCTACAAACTATTGCACTCTTCTGGCAAGACAGGTTAAAGTCCTTTAGTCATTCTACCATAGGCCAGCTGCCCGTGTAGTGAGTTTGCCTAGCTGGAGATATAAAACAGAAACTTTGAGTTTCTGTGGTATGACAGAGCTGAAAACATGCTGCAGAGTGTGATTTCCTGTGGACAAGTAACACAAAAAGAAAGCTTCTGCTTCACCCTTTCTGCTGTAGTCAGCATTACTAAACCCAGGTAGTGGTATTTCCTGTGACCAGCCATGGAAATAAAAGCTTTTCAGTGCCTACCACAGTGAGCTATAGCTTAGCAGGGACTTTGAAAAATGTAAATGACTCCCTTAGCACTGGCTCCAGGCACCTAAACCAGCATAAGCTGTTTAAATCTCTTTGTATCCTTCAACCAGAGTCTCTCTGAGCCCAGAAACAGAAAAGAACACCACTAACCATGTAATTTGCCCTTTACTGTAGTCCTTGGGGGCTGTAGGCACTGATGGGATGAGACTCCAGCCTTCACTACCTTCAGGTTTACTTGCTGAAGTAAAGCTTTATCATATGCTGATAAAGGAAAAGGCAAATTCCCCAGTGATTTACTCTTAAAGCAGTTTAAGTATAATAACACTTTCAAATAGATATTAAGGCATCTCATGTGAAGTTTGAGACAGTAACAAAAAATTACTGCTTACTTTAATGTCGGGATCTGTCATGTGAGTTAACTGCCAGCTTGCACATAAATCTCCCCTTTCTCCCTGAACTAATGCATGGCTTTCCAGGAACAAGCATATCCACATGCAGTAGGAGAAAAGTAGGCACTAGTGATGGAGAAAAAGTGACATCCAGTCCCAGACCAGGGCCATCATATTCACAGTCAGCTGCACCACTTAGATGAAAAATACCTGTGGGAAAACAGCCAGCAATAATTCATCTGTATTGGTTTCTGCCTCATGAAGTACAACAGTAGATATTCGCTTTCACAGTAGATAGACTGAATATTTAAAAAAGCTTACTGCTAACCCAAAACTAGAGGAGTCCCTTATGTTTCAAATTCCTGGTCTTTTGTTCTGAGGTTTCATGGAAACTTTTAGCCTCCATGAATATATTTGACTCTTAAAATTTGAATATAAAATGCCTTTCTGTCATCTTTTTATCTTTTTAAAAATGCTAATAAAAATAGGAATAAGTCATAGGACCCAGATCACAATAAGTCAAGAGGTCCATTTTCTCTAGTCATCCATCCTATGAAGTGGGAAACCAAAACTGTGGGACAAGCATGCCTGAACTGTGCTTGCTGTAGGAACAGGGCCTGGGCTGCAGGCAGAGCAGGAGACAGCAGCCTGAAATTCTTAGCAAGAGAGCAAGAGGGCTGTTACTGACAGCAAAATG